CATTTGGCGCGACCAGACGACTGGTAAACGCGCTAAGCCATGTCTGGTAAACAAGCGAAAGATGAGGAGCCCTCTGATCATTGCCTGGGGATTGTTCCATACATTTTTTGAAAATTTCGTAAAATTTTTGACAAGACATGGCTAATGAACAGCCATAGACAATACCAAGAGGGACGGCAGGATCGAGGGTAGGGGGAGGGAAGGACGGGGGTGCTGTCTGATGAGCTTTTACAGGACTGTTCAGAGGGAATGCAGGGCAAACGAGAAGGTACCAAGCACTCTGAAGGGAATGTGAATGCTGGACACACAGAAGATGCAATGTACAGAATGAAATGTGAAAAAATTCCACAAAATTTCCCGGGGACATCGTATCAACTTTCACTTTCGCATAAGTCTAATGTACGGGCACGTGAAAGTTTTGGCAAAAATTCGAGCTATGAATAACTGAGGTTACGTGGTGCGAGACGAATCCACAGCAACATATTTTTTTTTTTTTCGATCACTCTCGAACTTTAGCACCGAGTCTTTGCTCACAGAGCACTAATTACTGGTCATCACGGTCCCATACTACTATAACTGAATAGCAGGCACAAATCTAATTTAGCGTCTTGAGCGATTTTTCTCGGCTCGGGCTGCTGAAGTTCAAATTCGGCTTTTAGGAACAACCACATGGTGCAACATTGACTCGTCTAGACTGAACACAGTGCCAGTACTGACTGTTAGTCGTCCGAGATTATGAATTTTATCTTAGCATCCAGCCTATCGGCTTATTGGAAGCTACGAAAACAAATCCGTGCCGGGGGACTGCCGTACGGGGAGAGGGCTTTTTTTTTGTTTTCTTTTAACCGGTTTCCAAATGAGGGTGGTTTCGAAGGGGATTATCATGTTCTTAGACGAGGCTAGTGCCTGTATAGTTCGTTGGGATGTGAGCACAATTAAACAGGCTCTGCAAAAAGCTAAAATTATCTCAAAATGCATGGGAATTAAGAAGTGCTGAATCTGACCAGTGGCGGAGTTCAACTTTGGTTCAACAAAAAAACCTGGCTAGTTTTTAAATTGACCCAAATGGGCACAATTTTTTGCAAAAAAGTGAGACGTATGGAACTTACAAGAAAACGGATTGAAAATCTAGCTACTGGGGCTCTACTTGTCTCGGTTTTAGGACTAGCTAACTCAAACAGTTTAAGTGGATTTTACGCAAAGCAATTGGACAAGAGTTTTGTCAAAAAAAACACTAACTTCGAAAAAACAAAAGCAAAACAGGTTAGTAGTTGAATTACCACATCCAGACTTTAACTGAAGTTGCCTCAAAAAAGCCTGATGAGGCTTTAAAAGCTAAGTGGGATGGTTTTTTGCAAAGTGCTAAATTAAGCAGATATAAAAAAAGGCGG